ATAAGCAGACGGAAGATATGGACGAACAACAAGAAGTTATGGAGGTCCCAACAACTAAACCTATGGAAGTAGAAGAATCGTTTACAGCCGAAACCCGATACGATGTGCCAGTTCCGGTTATGGAGTCCTCCATCTCAGACGATGCCGACGTTAGTGTCTTCTGCGACGAAGAACCCGTAGTGGTGTATCACTATAAACCTCAGAATGCCTCGTTCGGCATTTCTGTCCAAACGAGGCAAAAACGTGTCAAAATTTTTGCCCCGATTTTGCCTCGTTGTAACGAGGTAAAAAAAATACCTCGTTTCTCTGGAGTTCCAAAACGTGTTTTTTTTTAAATTGCCCTGTTTTTGGAACGAGGTATTTTGTTCAGAACGTGGCTGGGTAAAATTGCCTCGTTTACTAAACGAGGTATTTTATCCAAGATAATTATTAGCGGTATTTGCTGTCAACAAATAGAGCCATACAAATAATGTTCGGACCATCATGTGACCAATTGCAGATCTACAAATTAGATTATTTATTTGGGACATGATATTGTTCATAGTTATGGCTTACTACACTGGAGTTCTATTATGTATAATAAACGCTTCCCGAGCGAAACAAAACATAACAATGTCACGTGACAATATTACATATGGCGGATACAAGCGTTCTTTGATTACATGCTGTTTGGTTTGATTATTAAATAATACGGCAATCTGTATATATGGGAAATGGAGAATGAATTTCCCCAAATCCAAAACTAGATGACTGGAATATTTATTGAATGGAGAGTAAATATTTTATAAAGAAATATATTCGGATTTGCAGTATCCTAGCTTGGATGGATTTGTGATTTGAATCTCGAACTCAGTGTTTTATACATTTTATTATAAAATTGTAATAAATGTTTTACATGAATGAATAAAATCTACAATTTAAAACAGTACAATAACATTGTGATTTGACGCTCTACAAATCACTAAGAGTATAACAATTGCCTGTTGAAAAAGCGTTAATAATATGTTTTTTTCCATTTATTATTTTTTAAAAATATATTCAAAAAGAATGCGTCTTTTACAGATTTCAATATAACCACAAATGGTTGATTGTTTTAATGCTAAGATAAGTATTAATGGTTTGTATTTGAAAATCAAATTATATAAGCCAAAAATAGTAAGATACATTATGTATATCTTAAAACACGCCCTTCTCAGTTACTACTTCGGCGAATATCATTTGATAATTTAGATGATCAGAATTAAACACCGTTTTGCTATGTTATTATTTTTTTATGATTGGGTGGGGGTATACTTAATTAGGGGATTGGATTGAAAGATTATAGCTACCATCTTATGGAGACATAATGTGTGGTGCATTTACGGTCTTATAAAGCTCTATTCTCACATAAAGAATTCTTGATTCGCACGGAAGTGTTTTAGCCGTGATCATTTTAAGTCATGCTTATGCCAAGATCTGGGTAAGTGTTAATTTAACTAGATATCAGAAAAGTACCACGTTTTCATAAATGTACTCTTTAGATAAATTGTACAATATTTATCAGTTCACTAGTTACAATAAAATCATGCATTATAGCTATTTTTATTTATTTATCCCTGGTGCTTCAAATTCAATTTAGGGTGCCTCAACATATTTAAAAATATGTTTTAAAGCTTTAGGTCATTTTATTATATCTTTCTACCATAAATAATAGCCCGAATTTAGGTATACCAAAAGTTAAAGAAATATAAACAGTTTTTGAGTCATTCAGATATGACTGCCAAAATTGTCACCAACACACATGTCGTGTTTAGGCTAAAATCTAACCAGAAAAGTATTGTCAATACATAATAAATTATATATTGCATTAATCAATTCCATTCCGCAATTGGTTTGTCTTAAACTCGTCATTTGTGTTCATGGGCATCAGGGTCGAGATGGCAACGTTATATGTTTTATTCGTCTAATTTACTATAAAACATCATTCGGTTTGCCTCACGGGTTAACGGCATATTAATAGCTTTATTCACTGAGATGGTTCCTTTACTTATAGTTTATTTTTCGAATTGCCTTTTGTATTTATTTAAATGGAAATATTAACAACATTCTATAAGTCAATCCACGAACATACCCAATTTCAATATTTGCGTGTTGACCTTTAACATCACACTTAGATCCTGTACGCTTTGTGTCTTACAGTCAATACATGTCATGAAGAACTCTTTAGACATAATTTCGTTTATAATACTTTACTCGTTTCTATTGAGTTGTTTAGCAGAAGTAACCCATGACAACAATATGCTGAGACGACTACGTAACAGAATAGGACGATTCAATGTTATTAAAATGACACAATGACAATTTTAATTTTATTACCAACCCTTTCACAATATTTGAATGAAATATCTCACACAGGGTGTTAATCTGTTTTCAGTTTCTATTCCAATTCAATAAAACATTTAAAACATTTAATACATGGGTTGGCTTGATTCATTATTTACAATTTAATACGTTAATCGTGTATTTTAAATAATACAGTTCAAGAGATCAAAACATTTCCGAATTTATGCATTCAACATTACACGTAGACCTAAATGTATTTTTCAAATACGTGTATAAACATTTATATGAAATATATTATAAACAGATATGCTATGACCAGAGTTGCCATTATCTTTATTATTCGACTGGAAAACTCCTGTCATTCACTCTGTCGTTCGACTGATCCATCATTCACGTTGTCATTTCCGAGTCTGAAATTTGGGGTATAGGGGTAGCTCGGACCGGGGAGTAACATAGGCCAGGTGGCGTTAGTCTACCACTTCCGGTTTCGGAGTTATGACCCCCGAGCGAAGCCGGGCATTCCTCTAGTATATAAATAAATATATAAATAAATCATCTTCATGGTCATCATCATGGTCATCATCATCGTCATCATCACTATTTAACACCAATCATCGTCGCCTGACAATTACCTTATCTATTCAAAGCGCTTGTTTAGTTTTAAATACTTGTGAACTTTACTAAAACTCACTTTGTTGAACGGGTTACTTTCGTTGGTATCGCCATATAGGAACGCTTTTGTATTTATGGATTTAAATGGGAGGGTATTTAATGTTGAGATACGCTGAGACGAATAATTTGGGCAGTGCAGAAAATAATGGTCGCTGTCTTCTTGAGTATGACTACAACTGCATGTCTGGTTATGTGAAATATGCATTAAAAATCTATGGAAGTTTAGAGCACTTTTACAATTACGAAGTCTGGAATGTATAATCTGAAATTTACGTTCTCCATAGTAACATCTTACTGACATCAATAAATACAAAAATATGACTAAGTCGAAAGTCAACAAGACGGTATACAAGCCAAAATGCAAGTCGAAAATAAGAAATTAGGAAAAAAAACGAGGGGCGCTATTATCGCAGTGTATTATTTCTTGATTTCCTATTTTCGAGTCGATTTTGGCTTGTATAGCGTTGCTGTCGCCTCACATTTTGTCGTGACTGCTACTTTTCGACTTTCGTGTTTTGGAGGGCGAAAAGTAGAAATTAAGAATGGTAGGCTTCTATAGTTAGGCGTTTGTATATATGACTGTATACTTGACACATGTACGACCTGAATGGCTGAATGGCCGGTAACCAAATATGTTATTGTGAGTGTTAAACGACATCGTAATTATTTTATATTTTGCAAAAAAAAACAAACAACAAAAAACAAAACAAAAAAACACAAGCCGTGATTGCCATTACTACAATACGGATTACTAAATATACTTTGTGTTCAATTTTATATTTTAATACTGAAGAAAGGGCCGGACTATAAATGAACAAGGCGGATCCTTTTGGCTTATATTGAGTAATTATTGCAACGTGTTACAGTTGAAAGTTCCAAAGCATTTTCACATTCCATGTCCGATAAATTTAATCATCATGCAACTACTGATTGGTGGGTCGTCGAAACATTTAGATGCATACATCACAGCACCGTGGTTTAGACAACTTGCAGTTGAACTAGTTTTATTGTTGTACACATAATGAAAGAAACTGTGTTATTTCACAGCTGAATTCTATGGTAAGAACCGTAGAACCACCTTGTAGGGAATAACTTTTAAACTTTAACACCCTATACACACTCTGCCAGCGGCATCTTTGACCCACACTCTCTTAACATTAATCCAAACTTTAAATCTTTCAACGGTTTAACAAGAAGGTGCTAAATATTTCCATTTAAATAAATACAAAAAGCAATTCGAAAAATAAACTATAAGTAAAGGAACCATCTCAGTGAATAAAGCTATTAATATGCCGTTAACCCGTGAGGCAAACCGAATGATGTTTTATAGTAAATTAGACGAATAAAACATATAACGTTGCCATCTCGACCCTGATGCCCATGAACACAAATGACGAGTTTAAGACAAACCAATGGCGGAATGGAATTGATTAATGGAATAAAATATTTATTATGTATGGACACTAAGTTTTATGGTTAGACTTTAGCCTAAAAAAACATGCGCGCTGATTACAATTTTGGCAGTCATATCTGAATGGCTCAAAAACTGGTTATACTTCTTTAACTTTTGGTATACTTAAATTCGGGCTATTATTTAATATATATATTGATCAACAGCGGCGATAAAAATCATTAGTCTCGACAATGACTAGTTGTCAGTGAAAGTCTCTCAGGGGAGCCAGGCAGCTCTGTGAATAAAGAGCTGGCTTGAACGCCTCGTGTTCATTAGCCTGAATAGTGAAGGAATGCGGGTCATTAAACCCCAATTTCATTTCATAAATCTCTCGGCTCAATAATGAGCTACTCGGGTTGGTTAGATCCACGCCTTAATGCATATACAACCAATAGAGAAATAGGTCAAATATGGCGACAATGATCAACTTGCTCTTCTTCTACTAAATTAAAGATTCGTGTGGAGATTCCGTCGATATAATCATATATTTATATCTGCTCTTTCTTAAAATGGAGACGGTTAGTAAAATGGTCTTCTTTACGTTCCTAAATATCAGTATGACCTTAATGAATACCGCACGATTACGATCCGTTCCAGACTGATAACTTTACGTTCCTAAATATCAGTCTGACCGTAGTGAATACCGTACGATTACGATCCGTTCCATACTGATACCTTAATTATAGGCTAATTATAGAGCCTTCAATTTCAAACACATTTTTATTATCATATGCTCTTATTTTTTTTTCATCATTATATGATTAACATTTCCTAAACTTTACGATTTTCAACTTTTTTTTTAAATAATAGTCCATCTCTGAGACAACAAAAACGTAAATAAATGGAAGATAAAAGCAAGAAAGACAACCCTAATAAAGGAGTCAGGACTAAGACTAGTAATTATTTCCCCTTATTTCATGATTGTCGAATGTAGTGCGAGTTATAAATAGACAATTTTTCCCTTAATTTTTTTCTCCCCTCTTCCTGCATTTTTGGTTGACTTTTTGGTCTAGAATTGGAGAAAAGGGATCAAATTTGCAATTTCATAGCAGTTTTGGGTAATACTGATGATATTACAGCGGAGGGATAGGGGGTGTAAAGTGTCTTTCTGCAGAGCAATCATTGTGTCGGAAGTGAGATTTTCACCCGTCAACTTCAAATCCGTGTAGCAAAAAATCTAAACGGTCAACCCCTTACAAAATTATGATGAGGAGATTGCCAAATGTTGTCCCCATTGTGCCTATAAAGATTGGAACCAACGGAATGTTGAGCAAAAAGCTACAGCCTGTGATGTTACAGTCATTTAACATTGAAGTCAATGGGCAAATAATTGCTAGTCTGAGTCCTGATGATATAAAGAAGCATGGCCGACTCGGGATGTTGATATTTTTTCAACGGCTTATTTCCTGAAGTTTTGAATGGAAAGTGTCAGAAATGGTAAGAATACTGCTTTTTTATTGCCCAGCAGTAAGTTTTTTGACTATTTGGTATCAAAATAGCCATGATTGGGGGTATCCGTTGGTTGAGTGTGAATTTTGGGTTGTAAATGTGTAACATTTTGTTCACAATGATATCAAAACATGGTTAGGTCTAAATATTAAGGCCAACTCAACTCCAGATTTGGTCTAAAGTCACGAGATGTAAACAAGACTGACCCTAACCCTAACCCAAGACCCAGTCCTTACCCTAACCCTAACCCACAATCTTGTCAAAAAGCATGTAGCCTAGGCCTAAGCCAAGACCTAGTTCTGACCCTAGCCCAAACCCACAATTGTGTCAAAAAATCATGTGCCCTAACCCTATTTACATGTTGTGACCTTGAACCAAGTCTGCAGTTGGTCTTAACATTTAGACCTAACATGTTTTTGACATCATACAATGAAATGTTAACATGTACACTCCAAAATTCACACCTGTGTGACTTTTGACCAAACATGCAGTTGGCCTTAATATTTAGACCGAACCTCAAAACATGGCATCTACCTTTGAGATTGGCTTAGACTTATGTGACACTCAAGGTTTACTTTTTTACTGATTGTTAACTGGTTTCTTTTTGGAGGGCCAGTGACGGGCTGTTCGCGAGAAATAAAGAGGTTTATTTCTATTTCCAGTTGAAACCATATTTTTTTCTTATTTTCTCACTGTTTTTTATTTCATATTTGTCCCCAGCCTCCTATCATTTCAGGTGCCAGGGCAATGTTTCATAGAGTGGAATGATTGACCTCAACACAAGTATTAAAAAAAAAGAAGCAAAACAGGTGAGATAAATGTGCATTTCATACACTTTAAGAAGTACATCCAACCTCATCCCCACTTCTGCTCACTAATAGTAATGGGCTGGAAATTTGGTACTGCACAGGCCTGTCTTCTCCCCTTGACATTTAACTGAATGACAGAATTCCACATTTTGACCATTTTCTAGATGTCAATGACCATTTCCCTGGATAGTATTCGCCCCAGAATTCTCATTCTCATCCAAATTTAACATTTCAGGTCTACATCTCAAAACCTGATCTCTTCCTGGACTGGCTTTAGGAGAACGATGATGCATATCAATTTCATCCCTGATCTCTATGACACCTGTGGTGGAAGTGGAGGGCAAATCGTAATCAGTTTGGGTTCCTGCCCTGAGGACCTCTGTAAACTTTGCTTTTCGGTGATGACTTAATTTCCGAGCTTGAAAAGAACGCCTGTGTGTTTATCATGGCCTCTCATATTGGAAGATAACATTAATGGCTTGTGTGTTGATCGACGGTTGTGCATATCTCTTGGTCAGGAAAGTTGTAGGCACCATCGCCATTGTAAATCATTTGACAGGCCCGAGTGAACGGGGCGACCTATGATTGGTCAGCAATGTATCAGATTCCATACCGGGGTGTGGGGATGAAAAAACTGTTGTAGTGTTACATAATCAGATTATTTCAACTTACTTATCCTGTGGAAATACAGCTATATAGGAGATATTTTGAAATTCATAGGCACTGCATGTTTCAACATTTTAGATTTGACCACAATTTGGCACTTGAAACTATGTTAACAGAGAAAAACTGTGTGGTTTTCGATGAAAGTGTTCAAAGTCTAATATTGCATCATGATTACTGTTTTAAAGTATTTTCGTGTTTGATTTATATTCAATTCATCTCATCTTATTGAAGAATGCATTTATGTTCAAAAATAAAAATGTTCTGTGGAATTCAAAATTCATGTGCTTTTAAATTATCAGATTCCAAACTGGGGGGTAGGAATGAAAAAGCTGTTGTAGTGTTACATAATCAGATTATTTCAACTTACTTATCCTATGGAAATACAGCTATATAGGAGATATTTTAAAATTGATAGGCACTGCATGTTTCAACATTTTAGATTTGACCACAATTTGGCACTTGAAACTACGTTAACAGAGAAAAACTGTGTGGTTTTCGATGAAAGTGTTAAAAAGTCTAATATTGCATCATGATTACTGTTTTAAAGTATTTTCGTGTTTGATTTATATTGAATTGTATTTAGAAAACGGAGGAAACCGAATGACCCAGCGAAAAAACTCAAGAGATTGGACAGGCGACTCTACTCCTTGAAATTGAAACCATGCCACTTAACACAATGACAGACCCTGTGATTTCATGCGCATGCATTACCTACTAGACCATTCCCCCCAGCCCCACCCCATATCGAATAAAAGTATGACTTATTTCAAATATGATATTTACATATAAAGAAAGTAGAGAGACTTCAATCTTACTAGAAAAATACTAGATTACCTGAAATGAAATGGGGTTTAAAGACAACGTCCTACTGGTCAGCTCCGACTGGTCTAATGCATTGTGCTAAGTGAAAATGTTTGTCTAGGCAGCGACACTATGGCCTACTCTCATACCGAATTCAAATGATGATGGTTAGTTGTATTTTACGTCCGCTTCCACCGAGGTGATATCGCAGACAATTCAAACTGCCAAGAGAACTTTTATGTGTACGCCAATGTGTACATTGGATCTCAGGGGAAACCACTCTGCAAAATCAAGATGAGCTTTCTCGATCAACCCCAAGAGATAACCTGTGGCCTCCATGCTAGTGTGCCAGCACCTAATTTACTCAGTCACCATGGCCGTCTTCTAATTACTGCGACAGTGAAACCATGTGACAAACAAGGATTATTAAGATAGACTTTTACGGCTTGGTAGTTCCTTTGGATTAAAACTTTTGATACATATAGATACATTAGTTTCAATTTCATATCACACAGTTTATATATATGAGAAGGTAGCTTTAATCGTAAATTACATATCATGTATTTATTTTTTCAGTTTCAATATTGGATGTATATGCAAATCACCTAGAAAAAGATCATGTAATAACAAAAGAAATTATAAAAGAAAAAAAGGAAGAAGAAATGGCTGGAAAAAATGATGATAGAGCAGCTTTTTCTTGGTGGGTAACTATTCAATTCTAATAGAAAAGATTGTTATGCTATTTTGAAATCTAAAATTCAGTTTAGTATAGTAAAACTGTACACGTCATGTATGAGCAGAGACAGAATCTTAGTTATATGTAGATATCACTGTCTCATCTGTGGCAAAGCAAACCAACACATGAAACAAAACAAATGTAATTAAAGTAACATTTTTTTAATTAATCAAAACTGTCTAGTCAATTTAAGCCAACTAATACATTGCCATTTTTTTTTCAGTTACCCACCTCGGAAGATCAAGTTGGAAAGGGCTATTGATATTGTGGAGACAAAGACTATGTAAGTACCATGCATATTTGCTTTTTAAATCAGGAACTGGTTCTATACACTTGGTGGGGGGTTTGGATGGACATTAAACCCCATTTCTCTCTCTCTCTCCTAAATATTGAGATTTTTGTTTACTTTTAAACTGCATATATTCAAGGTATCAGGAGCTTTTTTATGGCTCCCGTACAATTTTATAAACATGAAGGACTGTACCTTTTGAATATTAAGCCATCAAATTATTTTATAATTTTGAAAATGAAATGAAATGGGGTTTAACATCCTACTGTTTTGCTCATAAATTGGGCTAATGAAGACGGGCATACGCCGTACAGTGTGCTATGAAGGGAATTTTGCCCGGGCAGCGGCGCTACAGCCTACTCTTATATCGAATTCCAATTGCCAAGGAATCTTTTATGTGCACGCCAATGTGTACACGGGATCTCGGTTTTTCGTCCCATCCGAACGACTAGACAGCTGTCCTTGTCAGGTCCTCCGTCCTGTATCACTGACAAGGGGAAAACACGCAAAATGTAAGTAACATATATATTTGTATTTTTAATCAGGAGGTACTTCTATACACTTGCTTGGTAATCTAGTTATTCTTCTTGGGGCAATGCCTAGGACTCTGCTGTTTCAAGTACTTGGCATGCTTGATTTTTGCCAATCTCATCCATTGATTTCCTTCAAGTTGCGATAGGCCCTACATGTATGTGTATTTTTACAGTAAATAGCAGTAAAATAATGATGGACAGTATTTTACTTTCAAATAGATTTCAGTAGATTTTAAAGGGTAATATCCAATTTGTTGTCAATGGAAATAAAATAAGAATGGGTCCACAAATAATTAGACATTGCCAAGTAAATAGGCGCTGCCATGATGTAGTAGGGAATCTGGATTTGCAGACAATACATGTATGAAAGGGTGAATAGTTGACCTATTATGAGACTTCAGTCCCAAATCTCAAGACTTTTTTCTGACTTCTAACTCATTTGATTTGAGCATAATAATCTGCCTGGGTCTGTAACTGGACAAGACACAATAAGCGTTACGCAAAGTTGAAACCAAATAGAGACTCGGTCTCGATGTGGCAAAATAAATTGCTTATTTAAACGTTGTGAACCATAGAAAGTATTCTTATCTCCTACTTTTTATTTTTTAGGCTGGAACACCATTGAAAGAGTATTTGCTGTATGATAACAACAAGAAAACCCAAGCATCAATTTATTTTATACTTCTGGGAAAGAATGCATTTGACCCAATTTTTAAATATTTATTTTTTGTTATTAATGTTAAATTTTCTTCCAAAACACAATTAGATTTTAATTCTCTTCAGAAATGTATGTATAATATAGCAAGTAAAGTGGCATATAAATCACTTAGAATTTGGTCAGAAATCATAAAGTATTTAATAGGCATTACTAGAAACCAAATGTAGATCAAATACACCCAGAATTACAAAAAACCTTGACCTACATAAAGGTGACTTTCCCTTGCTTATGAAATGAAATACGGTTTAGTATCCTACTTTTCTGTGTTCTTAGAGTGATTCTGCCCTACACCCTACTCTTATATCAAATATTTCAACTGTCAAGGGTTCTTTAACGGGAACCCGTGGGGTGGGGGGGGCAATGATTAACACGCACACATTTGATCAGGAAGTCTGTCATTGAGTCAAATAATTCAATTGTCAAGGCTTCTTCTAAGTGAACGCAGTGGGGATGGTTTCGATTCCGGGAATGGGGGAGGGGGTGGTGGATGGCCGAATGGTAAGCATGTGCGTGCGGTATCATACGGCCTGTCATTGAGTCAACTGGCGTGGTTTCGAATCCCCGGTTGTACGTGACAAGGAGTAGGGTCGCCTGTCCAATCTTGTGGGTTTTCTACGGGACATACGGTTTCCTCCCACTGCTAAAAACCCCTATGCGCAACGAATTATTGAAATAAAATTAAACCATATGTTAATCCCGAAATGACCTAGTTTGTGTCAAGTGGACGTTAAACCCCATGTCTCTCTCTCTCTCTCTTTCGATTCCTGGCTTGTACCCAATTATCCCTTGCCATATCCAAGACTACTGACAAGTGGGAACTATGCCGGAAAATCCAGTTGAAATTTCTCGGCCAACACCTTATACTCACTGAACCACTGTGGCTTATGACTTGTGATTGTATATAAATTTTTTGTACATATGATATTTTTTTATTTCAATCCTGTAATCTTGATGCTTTGCTTCTTTTATTTACAAAATATTCATTTTGTTTGGGGTTTTTTAATGAGGAAAAGGTTTTACATCATTTTATTACTCCTGCAAAATAGTGCATTTTTCTTTTGTTAGTTTTCTGTGTATATTAGTTATTTCTATATGTCTCACAAATCACCTGTAGTGTGATTTTGTAGCACTTTTCAGTTTTTGAAATTGTTTCAATTTAGTGCATAATTAATCTTAGTGCTTGGTTTGGATGTTATTAAATTTAGATATTATTTGAATTATATATTTTGGAGTATGGGGTAGGGATACTGTGTACATATCTTTATATTCTCAGTTCTTGTTTTGGGGTAAAGAACAATTTAAATAGCTATTTTATATTTTGTGATAGGTAAAGTGTGTGGGGTTAAGAACAATTTAAATAGCTATGTTATATTTTGTGATGGGTAAAGTGGGATGTGTGCGTGTGTGTGTGTGTGTGGGGGGGGGGTCATTATATATAACACAATATAATTAGTATTAGAATTCTCTGTTTTTCTGTTAACATTTCAAATATCTATTTAGTTTTGATGTATTAATTTACTTTTTCCTATGATTTTATGAATAAATAATAATCTTACAAAAACAAAAACAAATTTTGTTTCCTTCTTTTATCAAACTTTACAGGTCTAACAGAGCAAAGAGATGGGTCCTGCATAAAAAGGTTGCTATACTGTATATAAATTGGGGAAAAACACAACACAAGTTTTTGTGGATGGTTATACACAAGTTTGTATGAAACCACACAAGTTTCAGAAATTTCAACACAAGTTTCAGAAATTTTAACACAAGTTTCAGAAATTTCAACACAAGTTTCAAAAATTTCAAGACAAGTTTCAAAAATTTCAACACAGGTATTGTGTAGATTTTCACACAAGTTTCAACACAAGTTTGTGTTGTTTGATAAATTTTAACACAAGTTTTGTGTTGTTTCAACATTTAACACAAGTTTTGTGTTGTTTCAACATTTAACACAAGTTTTGTGTTGTTTCAACACAAGTTTGTGTTGTTAAATAGAGACACCTTACTTGTGTTGAGAACAACACAAGTTTGTGTTGTTTCAACACAAGTTTTCTTCAGTGTAGTATAG